TCCTACTTTCATCTTGCACATTTAAGGAAGATGGAAAACAGATAAATACATTTATGTACTAAAGTTTCAGGTAGCAGTAAGTACAATAAGGAAAAAATAAAGCAAACTAATAAAATAGAGAGTAAACAGAGGGGCTATTGCACAGAATTTAATAACTGTTAGAAAAAATCAAGTGGAAAAAAGATGTTTCATACTCTCAAATGTGCTAAAAGCAAATCATTCATAAAACATTTACTCTTTAGAAAGCAAAAATAATTTGAAGAGGGAAAAAGTCACATTTACCTGTTTTTCCAAATGAAGACTTTCCAAAATAATGACAAATGATATTTTAAAGACATAAATTCTCTCACTTTTTTTTTTTGCCTTCCATAAAAGATTATATGCCTAAGGCTATCACTATGATTTAACAATGTAACATACTTACTAAGGGTCAGACATTATGTTATTATCTGAAGCAATCTCTCATAACTATTCTGGGAGATGGGTGCTATTATAATACATCCTAATTTTGCAGATGAGGAAACAAATGTTTAGGATGGTTAGTTAATTTGACTCATATCATYGTTAATAAGTGACAAAACCAGGATGTAAACCTGTAAACCAGGATTCTAATCTTAAATCCTATGGCTTAACCAGTATATTATACTGCAAGGTAGTAACTTCAAGAAGGAAAGGTAGTAATATGAAATATCTAACCCAGCTCCCTACCAACCAATGATTAACATCACTCTCACACACACACACACACACACACACACACACACACACACATACACACTTTGAAATGTAATACAGGATCATGACAATTATATATTATTCTCTGTTCTTAGTGAGTAACCTTTTAAAACTATTTTAAAATGCTTCACCCTTCCCCAATGCACCAAGGATTAAATATAAACACAATTTAATAAGGTTTTCAGAACTTTGGATATCATTCTTCTCTTCATCTTCAACGATTCAGTCACTCTTCAGCATCTTGAGTTATGCTTGCTTTTGTTTCCAGGACTTTGCATATATAATTTTTCCTGCATGAAACAATTCCTCCACTCTGCCTACTTTAAAATGTCCTACTTTAAAATGAGTAAGACATTGCAGTTTGGCTACCTTTTCTTCTGGGAAGTTTCCCCTAATCACTGCCAACCTCCCTGCTGCAAAAAATCTGGAGTTAATTGACTTTCTCCAATGTTCTTACATAACACCTTTTGTTATAGGTCTCTATTAAAAAGTACCTATGATCACTAGATTGTAAGAGCAGTGACTAACACACACACACACACACACACACACACACACACACACACACACCCCTACCTCGTGGTCACCACCACAGTACAAATAACCTGCATCTAATATATACTTAATAAATAAATATCTGTAAAATCAGTATGTTCCAGAGTAGCAGAATCACACCAAATCCACATATTTTTATGGCTATAGATAAGTAAAAATAATCAGATGTCTACACAGAAATGCTAAATAATATTATTAATAAAACTAGTAATAATAATGGAAACTAACATGTACTAAGAATTACTTACTGTATGCTTTACTGTGCTAAGGATATTACATATATCTTTCTATCGTAACAGTTACCCTATAAAGAAGGAATTAATCATGCATGGTGGTGCATGCCTATAATCCCAGTGGCTTGGGAGGCTGAGGCAGGAGGATTATGAGCTCAAAGCCAGCCTCAGCAACTTAGTGAGGCCCTAAGCAACTAGCAAGACCTTAAATAATAAAAATAAAAAGGGCTGGGCATGTTGTTCAGTGGTTAAGCACCCCTGGGTTCAACCCCTGATACAAAAAAATTAATTTTTTTCAATTTCACACATGAAGAAATGAGGATTTTAGGCTAGTAATCTATTCAATGTCATGCAGCAAACAAGTGTCAAACCTGAGTCTCAAATAWAGAATTCTCTCATCTCAAAGTCTACACTCATTAGGCATTAGAATGCCTCTGGAATGGTGTCAGAAAAACAGAGACATACTTCAATTACAAAGGCATATCTGACTACTCTAAAAATGAAGACAGTTCATCAGGAAAACTGGGACAAGAGAAAAATATATTTCTTCCTATATTGATAGATGGAGAAAAGTGAAAGAAGAACATAATTTTAGTTTTAGAATTTACTACAGATAATAATTATTTCATAAATTTATGGGATCCTCTGGTATACATGGGCTGGCAATGAAAAGATGTGGCTTAAAACTAGACAATGCTGATGGTACAGAAAAGATAAACTTTGCTACAGTTATCCAAGTTAAATCACATCTGTAGACACTGTCTACAATTTGATCTGAAGAAATTTGGTTATTAAGTCCACTTGTGAAAGCAATACGAATTACATAAATATATCACTGTCTGTTTGCTTTTTCCTATACAGTAATCATAAAGTCGGTAATATTTAATTTCACATCCTGACAGAATGTTAGAAGTAACCACAATGGTCTTAGGAAGAAAGAAAAGAAATTGTCTGTACCTGATCTATGAGTCGCTTWATTAGAGGTAACCCTTCTAATGCTGAACTGTCACATCCACTGGTCAGTACTCGTTCAAATCCCAAGGATAAGAGAGTCTCTAGAGCTGCCATTGGATCATGAACCATGTCAAAGGCTGAAAGAAATAAAATTAATTTGAATTTTAAAGACGTATTTTCAAATGCAGTGTTATTTAAAACACGGTACAAATATGGTGGTATGCTGGACCTAACTAATTCAGGCTTTAAAGAGCCAACTGTCAAATAATCAGGAATTTTGCATATCAGATCGTTAGTCCACTGGCATCTTGAAATTACTCAAGTACTCAAACCACAGAAATCAGAAAGTGCAAATTGGAGCTTTTTTTCCCAAAGAGCCAATTTACCAACATACAGGCAGTATGCATGACCATTTTACTAGGATACATTTTAATAGGTATATTTACTTAAATGCAGAAGTGAAAAGTTTCAATTTTCAATAATTATAAACTTTTTCCTTAACAAATTTACTTAAGATTTTACTTAAGAAAATTATTAAATGAATTTGCACAGGTAAGCATTCAGATATGGTAAAATTGTTAAGTGCAATAGATAAGTGACCAAATAAGGACAGTTGCTTTCAACAGATTATATGAAGTTTCAATTCCTTCCTTCCTTCCTTTTTCTTTCTTTCTCTCTCTCTCTCTCTCTCTCTTTCTTTCTTTCTTTCTTTCTCTCTCTCTCTCTCTCTCTCTCTCTCTCTCTCTCTCTCTCTCTTTAAGTACTAGAGATTGAATCTAGAGGCACTTAACTACTAAGTCATATCCCCAGCCATTTTTATGTTTTATTTTGAAACCGGGTCTAGCTAAGTTGCTTAGGGCCTCACTAAGTTGCTGAGGCTGGCCTCGAATTTGTGATCCTCCTGCCTCAGCTTCCCCACTTGCTGGAATTATAAGTTTGTGTCATCTTGCCTGCCCAATTCCATTCTGCTTTCTAAGAAACCTCTCTCCTCAGAACCCTATGAGAGGAAAATGACCTAGAAACCTCAAAACAGAAAAGCTACTTCAGTAAAATCTAACTAGAAAGATTTTCTTCTTTTGGTGGCAGCACTTTCTCACCTATGATTATACTCTCATAGTCTTATTAAATAAATGAATGAAAAAATGTAGAATGAGTGAGAAAGAATGTGGAATAGAGGAAAATGTAAAATTTACATAATTTTTTGAAAATATTACTGGATAAAAGAAAAAGTCACTGTCTTAGTTTAAGAGCAGAAAAATATATGTGACTAGTTTACTTTCTAAATTATTTGGCATGTCAAATTTTGAATATATATTTTTTCAGATGAATGTCCACTAATTTAAAATGCTTTTCATGTATTAATAACTTTTTATTATGTGTGTTAGCCTCAAGGTGAAGATTTTTAAACACCCTAACATCTTTAAGTTACTGCTAGTTTAGAAGAATTGCTATAACATCAAGTCAAAGAAAACAGTTTTCTCATAGTGTTATACATTTCAAAAAGAAACAAGAATAACAAATACACTTTATACTTAATTTCTATAAATGGATACAGATCCTGATATTCACTTTAAGCCTAATCTCTGAACTTTTACTTAAAAGGAAAAAAAGCACTGAAAAACTTCTCAAATATATCAGGTAAAAATATAAAATTACAGTTTTCTTTTCTTTGATTAAAGGCTTTTTTTTCATGTGCAAGGGCAGTGCCCTCTAAGGCAAAAGTGACCCTTATATCTCCATTTCACCAACATTTTGCAAAAGTACACTGGAATTATAATCACCTGAATTTTAAATAGAAAGCATTTTTTTTAAATGATGCAGACAAGATATTTAACATGAAAAGTAATTTCATATATCTTACTGGACATCTGTTTGTTGACCATTTAGCATCTATTTCTTCTTTCCTCTTTCCAAAAAATATCTAATTCTTCTTCATGTATTCACCCTCTTTCCTCACATGAATTCTCTAGAAAGTTGACCTCACCCATAGCTTCATTTTTTCTGGTTTAAGCCAGACAGTACATTTTATTTCACTGGCTAACAGTGATTTATTCTTTTTAGGACTGCACATAACCTAAGATAATCTAATTAAAATGAATCTCAGAATTGTTACCCAGATGGATACATGCCCTTGTAGGTAATAATTAGTATCTCCTTCTTCTCTATTATATTCTACAACCACCTACTTTGTTTTTTTAGTTGTCAATAGACCTTTATGTATTTATATGTGGTGCTGAGAATCGAACCCAGTGCCTCACAAATGCTAGGCAAGTGCTCTACCACTGAGCTACATACCTACTTTTAATAATTTTTATAATTGGGCCTTGAAATTATGTAGACATTGTATATCTATAAATTTACAACTTTTCATTCTAAGATCTGAGTAACACTGTAGAACWGTGATCCATAAAAAGGTTGTAGCTTCTGGTGAAGTTAGAAAACTGACACTATTCAACAGAGCTTATAAAATGGAAACTACTCACCTCGGTGGAAAGTAACTGGCAGAGGACGGCAAATAGCTATAAAAAGAAAGTCACATAACAAGATGAATAGAAAAGGTCATCATTGATTACTGTAGGATTCTCCATGTAAGGTTGTAAGGTGAAAATTTTTAATACTTTCTTCTCCTAAGAAGTAAGAGATAGTGAACTCAATGATAATAAGATGGTAGCCTTCAAATTAAAAATCCTAATTTTCTAATAAATTCTTGTTTTATATAAAATATAATCATCTACAACTCAAAGGCACCAAATAAAACTGCATGATTTGGCAACTATAAGAACAGCATTATATCTATTATTTGCCCCTCTAAAGATTCTTCAAGAAATAATGTTGGCCAAGCAGCATAGTAGTTTGTTTCTATTCTTTCCAACTTTCTCTATACTCATTGAATGCAATAACTTCTGAAGGTTTTGGTGCGGTGGTTAAGAAACTAACAGTAAATATCACTTAAACCTTATGAGAACAAGACCAGAACCACACCTACAGCAACTGAGGAAAATTAGCTGGGTTTTGTCACAGATACTTTCCACTATCTCCACCATAAACATTTAAATAAGTACTGTTAAATTAGGTGGGTGCCTGCAAGTATGACTGAAAAGTCAGTTTTGTGATATTTTTCTGCATCAGGAACATAAATACAACCATCAGTAGAGATTTATTCCTCTCATTATACAAATTCTTACCCACAAGGGACATGCACAACTCTTTGTCAATGTGTCCATCTTCAGTCAATGCCCCAAATACCAAACCATCAGCACCATAAAGCTTGGCAAGTCGAATGTCAGCCTTCATCACCTCAATTTCACGATCTGAATATAAAAAATCACCTCCTCGTGGTCGAATCATCACAAAAACTGGGATCTGGACACTCTGTTTCACTACTTGAAGGACACCTATAAAAACAGAAAGCAGACTAAAATTTAAACATGAGCTTAAAAGCTCTAGGTAGAGCCAGGCACTGTAGTGCATGCCTGTTAATCCTAGCAACTCAGAAGGCTGAGGCAGAAAGATTCCATGTCTGAGATCAGCCTCATCAATTTAGTGAGGTCCTAAGCCACTTGGTGAGATTCGGTCTTAAAATAAAAAGTTAAAAGGACTGGGAATATAGCTCAGTGGTAAAGCGCCTCTGGGTTCAACTCCCTATACAGAGACAGAGACAGAGAAGAAAAAAAGCTCTAGGTAGTCAATAAAATAGTATTGGTCAAGTACATCTGTTCTTGTGTATTATTTCTGAAAGAAAAGGAAGAGTTGACTGAGTATATAGAAAGGTCTTGCCTCAGTAGTACAGTAGGCCATAATAAACTCTAGAGTGATCACTGCTCTAGAATTGMCTAACAGATCTTAACAAGACCTAGAAGTTCCAAACTGTTTCCAAATAAACTATCTGTTCAAAAATATTTATAGGAACATACAAATTCCCAATAAAAAACAAAGTAAAATTCATAACATATTTCATGCAATAAAAAATGACCAGGCAAGAAAATAAGACAGATCACTAAGTGATAAATTAATCAAATGAAACCAATCTGATATAGATGTTAAAATTTGCAGCCTTATTACAGGTCTTATAACTCTATTCCATATGTTCAAAAAAGTTAAGAGGAAACATGGGAGATACAAAAACAGACTAGATTTATCCTCCTTCCTTTAATAATAAAAAACAGACAAAATATTTAAAACAACAGTTTGTAAGACACTAGACATCAAACAACAAAAGATGATGATTCCTGAAAGAAAACAAGTGAGGTGAGCTCTATGACTGATCCAGTTTAATGCCTCAGTTTCAAGGCCTCAGCTCAGGGAGGAGGAGCCTAGGTGGAGCCTAGAATATTTAATTTCTAGATGAAAAAACTATAGTGCATGAGATGAACAATATACTAGGCAAGATTAACAGCAGATTAAATATTGCAAAAGATAAGTAAACTCAAAAACAAAACTATAGGAACTGTGTAAAATGAAATACAGAGATATATATATAATATATAATATATATATATATATATATATATATATATATATATATATATATATATATATAAAAGGATAGCTCATCAGAGAGTTATGCGACAACTTCAAAGTACATACTTACATAAGTATAACTGAAGTCTATGAAGGAGGGAGTGGAGGATTAAAAGTACAAATGTACAGGTCCAAGAAACATGAAAAAAATACAATCTAGTACATCATAATCAAACTGTTCAAAACTAGGAATAAAGAAAACATTTTAAAAGCAATTTAAGAGATACATTATATAGAGAAAAATGAAGATATGGATATAGATTTCTTATCAGAAACAACACAAGCAGCCGGACCTGGTGGTGCACGCCTATAATCCCAGTGGCATGGAGGCTGAGACAGGAGAATTTCGAGTTCAATGCCAGCTTCAGCAAAGTCAAGGCACTTAACTCAGTGAGACCTTATCTCTAAATAAAAAATATAAAAATGGGGCTGGGGATGTGGATCAGTGGTTAAGTGCCCCTGAGTTCTATCTCCAGTATCAAAAAGAAAAGAAAAGAAATAACACAAGCAAGAAGACAAAGAAAAAAAAATCTTCAAAGAACAGAAAGAAAGAAAGACCCTGTCAACMTAGAATTTTACACCCAGCAAAAATATCTTTCAAAAATAAAGTAAAGCTGTGTGCAGTGGCACTTGCCTTATCTCAGTGATTTGAGAGTCTAAGGCAGGAGGATCTTAAGTTCAAGGCAACCTCTGCACTGAGACCCTGTCTCAAAATGAAAAATAAAAAGGGCTATGGATGTAGCTCAGAAATAAAGTGTCCCTGGCTTCAATCGCTAGTACAAAGAATAAATAAACAAACGAGAAAGAATTCTTTGTAATCCCAATAACTCAGGAGTCAGATGCAGGAGGATTGCTTTATTACTTTTATATTTTTAAAAGAAAATTTTTTCAAACAAAAAAATACAGCATGAGGTTTTTGATAAATGTAAGTAAAATGTATGAAAACAACAGGACAAAAGACAGAAAGGAAGAAACAAAGACAAAAGTCAATATATTCAGGGTGCCAATATAGAAAGATTTTTTTAAAGTCTGATTTTTTTTTTTTTTTTGAGAGAGAGAGAGAGAGAGGGAGATTTTTTTTTTTTTTTTTTTAGTTTTCGGCGGACACAATATCTTTGTATGTGGTGCTGAGGATCGAACCCGGGCCGCACGCATGCCAAGTGAGTGCACTACCGCTTGAGCCACATCCCCAGCCCCCAAAAGTCTGATCTTTGATGCTACTGCAGAATAGCTGAATCGGTATTAATAGCAACTACCAACCTTCCAACTTTCTGATGTTTGAGAAAAAAATTTTTTAATCAAATCTTTTTTTGTTTGTTTTAGTTGTAGATGGACACAATATCTTTATTTATTTATTTTCATGTGATGCTGAGGATTGAACTCAGTGCCTCACATGTGCTAAGCAAGTGCTCTACCATTGAGCTCCAAATCCAACCCCTGATCAAATCTTTGATAGTGTTATTTACAATCATAAACATTTCTAACTAGTACAATATTCACAACATAGTAACATGATATTAGTAAAAGACCCCAGTGAAACTGATAAATAGTTGCCTCTAGGCTTTATAAATTCCTGTGTGAAAGAATTGGGTTATGAAGTTGACCAAATTACTCTATATGCACAAATGAGTATATCACAATGCATTCCAATTTCATTCATAACTATAATTTACCAATTAAAAATAAATGAATAGAAGGAAAACTAACAGCCAGGTGTGATGGTGCATGCCTGTAATCCCAATGATTTGGGAGGCTGAGGCAGGAATATTGCAAGTTTGAGGCCAGCCTCTACAACTTAGTAATACCCTAAGGAACTTTAGCAAGACCCTGTCTCAAAATAAAAAATTAAAAAGAGCTGGAGATGTGGCAGTGGTTAACTGACCCTGAGTTCAATCCCCAGTACCAAAAAAAGGAAGGAAGACCAAGAAAGTAGAGGAAGGGAATCAGAAGGTGGGAGGAGGAGAGGGAAGGTGGAAGTCCTGGACACTGAAATGGAGCAAACTATGCATATGTGCTTATGAATGTCGAAATGAACTCCAYTATTATACATAACTATAATAAAAACATTTTTTAAAAAAAGCCTCCTACAACAAGTTTGGTGAAAAACAAGACACTTACCCATGCTGGGTGTGGTTCCACCCTCCAATAAACCAGAACATAATTCAATCCGACCAGCACCTGTGATAAAAAAGCACTGCTCAACAAAGTTTTCTTAAAGCTCTTATTAAATAGCAAACTGTTTACAACATTTATTCCCAAATATAGAAGAGTTTTAGAAACTGTCTACGAGGAATCAAATTATAGACTAAAACTCTACTTTTAATTTCAACTGTATTGTGCAACCCAGCTGTGTTATGATGGTAAAATTTAAGAGTTTTTCAAGCTAGTTCTCTTAAAATTTTAAATTTTAGGGYTGCCATGCCCAGGGAAATGACTTAGAATAAAGATATTACCAGACCATAGTAAAATGTTGGCTTTTTGTTGATAATACCATAATCTTTTCCAAAACAATCTATTATTCTAAGCTTTAAAAAACAGTTATGCTACCCCAATGATTCAAATGTATGAACTGCCAAGATCATTATAATGTCATGTGTAGATAATTAAAAAAAAAAAGTTATGCTGGGTACGGTGAAAACTATAATAAAGAACTGAAACAAAAACAAAGAGAGTCCTTCTCAGGAGGCTAAGGCAGGAGGATAGCAAGTTTAAAGTCAGCCTCAGCAACTTTGTGAGACCTTCAGCAACTTAGCAAGACCCTGTCTCAAAAAAAAAAAAAAAAAAAAAAAAAAGTTAGAAGGGGATGTTGCTCAGTAGTAGAGACTTCCTGGGTTTATCACCAGTCTCCACCTCCCCCCTCAAAGAGTCCTTATCTTCTAGAGATATATTCTTAAATATTCAAGGATGAAATTACATGATATATAGGGTTTTCTTTAAAATAATCTGCGTTTGGAAGAATTCAGCAGGTATACAGATCAAGGGTCAACAAACGATGACTTGCAGGCCAAAGGCCAATAGCTTATTTTTGTTATTCTTAGCCGTAAGAGCAAAGAATGTTTTATGTGTTTTAAAAAATAATACCTTTATTAACATGTAATCTACATGCCATATAATCAACACACCTAAGGTATACAATGCAGAGTTTTGCAACTATCACAATGAATTTTAAGACACTTTCAACATCCTCCTAAATAACCCCCACCCTTTAACAATCATCTCACCTTCTCCCCATGCCTTTCAGCACTAGGCAAGCATTCATCTATTATCTGTCTCCATAAATTGCCTATTCTGGACATTTCATATGATTGGAAATTGTACAATGTGGTATTTTGTGATTGGTTTCTTTCACTCAAAATGTTTCAAGATTCATCTGTTATAGCATGTATCAGTACTTYATTGCTTTTTATTGCCAAGCCAAGAAGTTTTTACATTTTCAAAGAATTATCATTATTTTTTAGAATTTAACCTTTATTTGTTTTTATGTGGTGCTGAGGATCAAACTCAGGGCCTCACCAGTGCTAGGCAAGCACTCTATCACTAAGCCACAACCCCCCMMCCCCCCACAAAGGATTTTTCTTTTTTTTAAAGAGTACGTGATAAAGACCAATGTGGCCAGCAAAGCTGAAAATATGTACTATGTGGCTCTTTACCAAAAAAGTTTGCTGATCCCCGATATATTGAAAGAAGAGTGGCCATGTGTTAAAAATGATTGAAGTAATGGATACACAGGATTCATTATTCTACTCTATTCTTGTAATGTGTTTGAAATTTTTCCATAATAAAAAATTTAAAAATTGTTCTGATTCTGAGATAATGGAAATGTCTGTGCTTCCTATTTAAACAAGTTCAGAATACAAAAGAAACTCTGGATACAAATAAATAATGTTTCTCAAACCATCTTAATTTTTCCCCCCCAGTGTTAGGTTTGAACCCAGGGCCTCATATATGCTAAGCAAATGATCTACCATTGAGCTACTCCCCAGACCCTTGTGAAAGCATCTTTAAACCAAAAGTTTGAAGTTTTAGATAAGTTCAATAAAATGTCAATGAATAAGCATTACTGTGGACATCTGTCTCAAAATGTGACCTGCTTGAAAAGGAGGGAAACTAGATTATAATTTTCCAGTAGGTTTTCTAGTTTGTTGTTTTCAAGAGGATTATCAGCCCTTGGAGATCACAAGGGCTTCTGAGATCAGTTTACAGGATTTATTTTTAGACTTTTAAAAGGGTTGCCAACTGTTATTCATACTCTAATTTTTCTTACCTCCTCTTTCTGCATTCACAGCTGACTCTACTGAATCAACACAYACTTCCATGAGAAATCCATTTGTTGCTCCTAAAATTCATGGAGAACAACAGAAATTCATGAGGATACTGTCCATGTGGACCAATCCCCCACAAAGATTTTATTTATTTTTTAAAGCTTTCCTTGATTTTATTTATTTTATGTGGTGCCGAGGAGCAAACCCAGTCCCTCACACATGCAAGGCCAGTCAGTGTTCTACCACTGAGCCACAACCCCAGCCCAAAACTTTTAATATTTTTAAAAGTATTTTATTTTTCTGACAATGGTAGGGAAATAGATAAGTACAATAGGGCCTATGAATACAGTAAAATTCCATGTTTATTATTAAATTGATATCTCTAGACTGTGAAATACATTCAGAGTCATATGCATTAGAAATCATACTAAGGAAAATATATGCTGAATCTAAATTAACTTCCTAAGACAGATTTCATCATTATACCCCAGCTCAGATTCTTACAATGCAATGCTCTCAATGTCTATAAAATGTTTAAACATCTTTATAAGGAAAATATGTTTAAAAGTGGGAATGGACTTCAAATCCTGATCCCACCATTTATTTATTGTGTGATCCCTGACAAGTTAACCAAGTTTCCCATAAAACAGGGTAGGCTTTAGTACCTACCTCACAGTAGTGAATACCGGGAAACAATTTACATAAAAGGGCATTCAAAAAATATTCACCACCACAAATAAACTACACATTATTTCCTCTTTATGCCTGCAGTCCCCTCCAATCTCCACCCTTGGTATTGCTTATGCCATCTCCTTAGCCTACAAAATCCTTCTAGCTTCATCTTTAAATGACACAAGTTTCCAAGGCATTTATCATATTTGTCACATTTCCATGACTTTTTTCTCTCTCCCAAAGTAATGAAATACATCTTTTAACTCACATAACTTTGTGTGTTACACATTCCTCTTATTTATCTATTTTTGGTACTAGGGTTTAAACCAAGGGGTGTTTTACCACTGAACTACATCCCTAGTCCTTTTTTTTTTTTTTTTTTTGAGATAGTCTTGCTGAGGTGCTGAGGTCCTTGAACTTGGGTTCCTCCTGCCTCAGACTCTAGAGTTGCTAGGATTATAGGCATACACCTACATTACTCTTTAAAAGACTAATTACAATTATATTCTACCTCTTCTTTATGCAGATAAGTATCTGATCACTCTTAGTTGACCTAAAGTTCCTAAGGTTTTTATGTAAGAAATCTTTATCATCACTGACAGCAAATATATGCTACACAACAATCCCTCAAGTATTTATTAAAATAACTAACATATTCATAGAAAATCATAATATTGATACTAAAAATATGATATAAACAGAGTTTTGAGTTTTTCCTGTAGGTTAAGCATATAATTTATTTTTTAATTAAAATATTGAATGCATACTTCATACAAAGATGTCTGGAATAATGTTCATTACATCCTGGTAATGGTTACCACTGGGTGGTGAGATTTGAAATTCTTTTTACTTTTCTATGATGCTTAAATTTTTCTACCCAATGTTTTTATAATAAAAAACAATTTTACTTTGAAAAGCAAACAAAACAAAAATCTATCATCAGCTAACATCACATTTCAACTGTATCATTTATTTAAAAGATTATGAGTCCCTAACTGTGAAAGAGTTAAGTGTTGATCTATTCTAAGTCTCCTAATGGCTACCACATCATTGTCACACAGATGGAACTGGACAATGCTGCAGTATTACCATTAGCCTCACACCAGAAATGATCCTGCCAGGGAGGGTGGAGATGCACACAAAGGCTATGACAGCAGGTAGAGTAAGGGAGGTGTACTAACCAACAGTTATTTGTACAGATCAAAGGAAAAGATACTTGTTAGAAGCAGTAGTGCTCAAAATGAGGTAGTTCAGGACCTCTGAAATTCTTTTAATTTGTGGAGTTAAAATCATTTTTTATAATAAGACTTTAGTTGCCTTTTTCGCTCACTCTTACAAGTGAAGTTTTCAGGGGGATACTTGACACATCAGATTGAATGCAAAAATAGGTATGAGAATCCAATTGTTTTCCATGAAGTTGAGTTAATATTTGTAAAAGAGTTTTGAAAAATCTGTAACATAGTCACTTTCTATACTTTAAGAATATTTAATTTTCATAAAAGTTACGTTTCCATGTAACGGGTTTATTATAGTTATTTTCTAATTAGTCTGTCGTTTTTAAAATGTTTAATTTCCAGTATGATCGAAATCGACAGCTATGACCCATATAGAGCTCCTTGGAGGTTTCTAATAATTTTTAGGATAATGGAATCCTGAGACAAAAAAAAAAAAAAAAAAAAAAAAAAAAAAAACGGAGATAGAACCAAGAATTCACGGAATAGGAGGAGAAGGCACCTGGAAAATCCTGCAGAGCCCGCTCGGTTAGCCAGCCCTGGCGCGGAGGGAGAACTAGGGACTTGGGGCCACTGCCACCTGGCAGCAGTGACTCTGGGAACAAACGGCACGGCCGCTGTGGCAGCTACAAGCTGCTGAGCGGCCACCACAGATGAGGCCTGGTCCGCTCTCCATGGGCTCTCACGGCGATGGTGAGGGGGAACTGGGTGACGAACGGCTGGGACCAGCTAACCAACTCGCATTACTGTCGCACGACGGAGCGTGGAGGCGCCGGGATTCGAACCCATATGGGCGGCTCCAGCACCAGCTCACGTTTCCACACCCTTAAAGCCGTAAGGTTAGGACGCGCCGCGCCAGGGACTGGGGAAACGCCTCCGGGAGAAATGGTGACAGGCCAGGCCCCAAGCCGGCCGGCCGACCGCCCCCGGCCCCACCACCTTCCGCACCCGCCTTCCCCGACGCTATCCACGCTGGTTTCCGCTCGGAGGACGCCCCCTGCCTCTTCATATTCTACAGGTTTCTCCCCCGGGTGCCTTCGGTTTCCACTCCCAGCCGGGGTTGCCGCGCGCGCGACCGGATAAGCGCGTCCTCCACGGCGGCGCGCGCCATGCGCGCCCCCGAGCCCCGAGCCCCAGCAGCCTCTACGGAAGCAGAATCGCCAGCACATGTGCAGTCGCCAGTCTCGCGCGAATAAGAAGCTGGTGTTGCCTGACCCGGAAGTGCTTCTGCTTTCTGTGGCGGAGAAAGGAGACCGTGGAGCCCTGGCTTGTGCTGCTGGCGGTTGTGCGCTGGTGTAACTATGCAGCGGTTGCTCTTTCCGCCCTTGAAAACCTTGCTGGGGAGCCAGAGTGTCCGGCTTTTGGTTCCTAAGGCGGCGCCTAGAACACAGGTACCGCACCTCCTCGACTCCGGAAGCGGGGATGGGGTGAAAAGGCCAGAATAAAGATAATAGAGCCCCAAGTCCTGTTACTTTAGCTCCTTCCATTTCACTCTGCCATTTTATGTATTCAGAGCACCCGAGTTCGGATCCGGACATGCTGCTTGCTGCTGTGTGTTATCGACCAACTTACTTAACTTTTCTGTACCACGATGTCTTTGTAAACAATACCTACATCTTAAGCTTGTTGTGAGGATTAAATGGTTTAATTACACATCAAACATTTAGTTCATGGTAACAGCGCAACAACTTTTTACATGCACACTTAATTTTTGCCAAAAAAAAAAAAAACCAAAACAGTAATCATAACTCCAATCTACACAGAGGGAAATTGAGGCTTAATTCAAATTACTCGTCTAACGGTGTTTAATTAGAAGTAGGAAACTGAACATGGATCTTTTTACTCATAGGGATACAGCCAGAAGAGGGCATGAATTCTCTTAACTGATCATCGTGGGGTAATTATTTTGTGTTAGGAACGGGGGAGAGAAAGATAAATACTGCAAGATTCCTGCCCTGGAGGAAGTCACAGGAAACGGTGTTAGATATAAAGGTAGCAGGAGGGAAAGAGCAAGCCTGACCAGATCCTGCCTTCCAGAGCTCATTGTAATGAAGATATATTAAGATGTTTTAAGGGCTGTGATAGGAGAGGTACAGTATGTTATGGGAGTGACCCATTGCAGAAAGTCTGGGAGCACTTCCCAGAGGAAATGACATATAAGCTGAGATCTGCAGTAGTTAAGCAGTAAGAGGACAGGGTGTGTTGCAGAGGAGAAAGAAAATAATCCTTATCTAGGTGTAGAGTGAAGTCAGAGGCAGGGGCATATGCAGAGAACTATTAGAATGAAGCAGAAAAACCAGTGTTCCACTTAAGAGATGATGATTTACCAGGGCTGTAGCTATGGAGATGTATGTGGTCTTACAGCTTACTTTGGCCCAGTCAAATTGGGATTGAGTGTGGCTAGCAGCTGTTCCTCATTTCTTTAGTTATAATCTATCTATCTTGGTCCTTAGTGTGGTTGCAGCTGTGGCATCAGACGCCCTCTGAGGTCAGGGCAGTACAGCACGGTCTCTGAAGTGGCTTTGCAATCTGGAAGGGAAACAGCGTCCCTTCCCTCAAAGGCTGCTGATCGGGTGGTGGGCCGATGGCTCCTGGTCTGCAGTGGAACGGTGGCTGGAGCAGTTATTCTTGGTGGAGTAACTAGGTGAGTAGTTTGCTCATAGTGAGTCAGGTATTTGGGTTTTTAGTAGACACACAGGATGACTGAGGGGAAAGGGACCTTAGGGATCATATAGTCTAGCTCTCTAATTTTACAGATGCAGAAACTGAGGTCTTAAAGAAGGAACATGTCTGATGGTTTTCCCTGCCATAAAACAGGACAGTGTTTTATTCGCAGGAGCCTATCACCAAGACTAATTTAGGTCTTAACTGGTAGGTTTGCATTGTTTGTATATATTTTCCTCTCTTGTCCACATTCAAATTTATCTCAAAATTTTTCATTGTTTGCTTGTGTGAATTAAACCCTTAGGAGTTCCATACATCAGAATTGGTTCATATGCCTTAGTAAGTTCTCTTTAAATCTATGAACAAACTTTGTAGATTTAGACTTTCTGTTCCTGATTTGCAGGGTTTTTTGTTCTCAAAGAAGCCCACATTATTTGTCCTATGGTTATCTATAGTCTGGATTTTGCTGACTGTTTGTGGTGATGTTTAACATGTCCCTTCATTCCCTATGTGTCCTGTGAATGACTAGTTGCTTGATCAGATTCAGATTGAGGATGAAGGGACAAAATACCAAAATACTTTATAGGCGATTAGAACATTCATGAATAATAAAGCGTTTGTGTAAGTGTATAATAAGTATAATTATTTGCTTATAGATTTATATGCATTTGATGTTTTAGTCCCCTGTGATGATGGTGTTGATGATTTGCTTAAACTGTCCTATAATGATAGCAGGTGAGACTCTCTTAAAAGTGTCTTTTTGATARTTTTAGTTACCTTTGATAGACTCCTTGCTTTCTGATAAGAGAAAATATTCCAGGCCCATTTTGTATAGTTCTTGCTCCTGGTCTAAAATCAGACATCGAAGAACCCTGCCTGACTCCTTTTGGTAAAAATATTTTCTGGTTTTAATAAAGTGTGTATTCCTCAAATTCTGTCCATATTCCCAGTGCCCTTATATCACAATGCCTGATATGTTAATAAGCTATTATAGGAAACTACAACAAATTTGAATATTATTGTCTTTAAATTCACAGAAGAACCTAGACCTGTATGCCTATAACAAATTTCTTTTTCCTGTGTAAATAATGTTTGTTATGACTGAGGATGTAGCTCAGTGGTAGAGTGTGTGCTCAGCATGTGTGAGACCCTCGGTTCAATATCTGGCACTAAAAGAAAAAGAAAAAAAGTGTGTTGGTTATGCATTTAAGATATATTTCTTTGGTCTGAAGGTTGATTTGGGCTGTCAAGGAAGGCTAGTGAATGAATTAAGGGCGGAGAGTTCAATGAAAAGATTGAGAGAATAAGAGGGTAAAGAAATGGGTACCTGATGGGAGCTGTTTCTTACAAATTCTAAGCAGTAGAAGAGAAAGGTGTCAAAAGAGGAAACAATGAAACTGTGGGTTTACTTTTAGTGGGGTTAATGTTAGATCTGCTTATTGCTATAAACTCTTTATGAATAATCTAGCATCATACCCACACTCAAAATTTTATTTCCTATCCTAAGGCTGACAGAGTCTGGCCTCTCAATGGTAGACTGGCATTTAATAAAGGAGATGAAGCCACCTACAAGCCAAGAGGAATGGGAAACTGAATTCCAAAAATACCAGCAATTTCCAGAATTTAAAATGTAAGTATTAGAATCAGGTAAACATTCCACTAACCCCATTCTTTTTTTTTTTTTCCCCCGGTACTGAGGTTTGAACCCAGGGTCACTTAACCACTGAGCCATATCCTTAGTCTTTTTTTGTATTTAATTTAGAGACAGGTCTTGCCAAATTTCTTAGAGCCTTGCTAAGTTGCTGAGTCAAGCTTTGAACTTAGGATTCTCCTGCCTCAGACTCCCAAGTCACTGGGATTACAGACATGTGCCACCATGCCTGGCAGCCATTCGGTTTTTTGCTGACTTTAATTCAGTAGATTCCTTGATCTTTGTTTCGGTTACATTTAGTGAGTTACCTAATCTAAACTTTTAAGTCCAAACTTATCCTGAGGTTGCTGATGAGGAAGCAGGCTCAAGTTTGAGAATCTTTCTGCATTCCATAGGTAAATAAAATCGGAGGGATGTTTCCTCTTTCTTCATTTTTGACTTCCCATTTCTCTCAGCTTGAATCACAACATGACGCTGGCAGAATTCAAGTTCATCTGGTACATGGAATACTCACACCGGATGTGGGGTCGCATTGTAGGCCTTGCATACATCTTACCTGCTGCTTACTTTTGGAGAAAGGGCTGGCTTAACCGTGGCATGAAAGGACGTGTTCTTGCTCTCTGTGCCTTAGTCTGCTTTCAGGTAAGATGAATTTAAGATAGGGACATCAGAGAGGCTCCAAGGACCTTCCTAGTTGGTATTATTTTTAAAGAAGTAATCCTTGAAACACCACAACAGTATGGTTAAGAGTATGCATTTTGTATCACAGGCATTAAACCCTGGCCCTGCTACATAGTAGGGCACATTGTCTGACCTTTGTAAGCCTGTCATTTAGGTTTGCATGGATGGTGTACATAAAACACTTAGTTGAGTGTCTAGAATTGGCTCAGTAAATACCTTTTCATGTGCCACAAAAAGTAGAGTTTATTTCCCATTGTGTTTCTCCTACTGAGTTCTCTTCTCTTCCCTTTGTCTTGCTTGCTTGCTGTATTGGAAAGTGGGATCCCCATGTTAGAATGGCTATAGAAGCAAATAGGAAAACATTTTATGGGATGAAGGATCTTAGAATACAGATGTAGCTGCGAGATATTTAAGTATAAATGGTGTTTAAAATCATGTAAGTGGAACTCCTCCTAAGGAAGAGAGTGTTGAAAGATCCCCACAGTTAAGAGGTTAGGTAAAGCCGAGAGCCAAGAAAATGAATTATGAGAGAAGACACTTAGAAGTATTTGGGTAGAAGTATAGAGGTCCTAAGGGATGGTATGAGAGAATCAAAGAAACATCATCAAAATTTGTTCAGGAGAAAGCTATTGGTTAATTTAACTCAGAAGTGGTAAAAATACAATCCAATTACAAGGGATTAAGGAGGTAATAGAAACAGAGGTAGACACTTATAAAAGTTTACTAGTTAACTTTTAAAAGTCAAGTGGAACAAAATGAAAGTAAGTATTTTAGAATTAAATAGACACTAAAAACAGACTCCCGGGGAGGGAGAAATTTAAGATGTTAGGTAGGGTTATGGGAAGAAGAAAGTGGAGGCCGGTGAATCACAGTGTGTGTACCTTCATCTTCTAAATGTCCCACAGATGAAATCAAGGTAATTAGAATAGCCAGGTAGCCTTAAAGGGGAAAGAAATGTCCAAAAACATTTCCTGAAGAGTATTTATTTAAAAGGAGTAGTAGAATCCCCCTTCTTTGATCTGGCTTCTACTGGCTTGAGAGTGTGGGGCTGAAAGGGCTGTGTCTTACCAGATATGATTGAAACTGACAGTTGTTTGGTTAATTGAAAAAAACCAGTTAGATTAGAAAGTTATAAAATATAATGTATACTGTAGATTTAAACGTGTACTTTCATTACCAACTTTTTTTTTTTTTTTTAAATCAAGTGCCAATGCCTTTTGTCTGGAATTCAATTTCAGAGCTCATAAACTGGGATCTTCATTTCATTTTACTTAGAGTGGGAACTTACATATTTACAAAGCAGTTAGATTTGTGTGACTTACTCCAAAACTTTTATAATTGTCTTATTATCACTTAACTTGACAGTAATTGTTTTTGGCTGTTACCTTTTTTTTCTTCCTTTTTTTTTTTTTTTTTTGGTGAGGGGGTACCAGGGATTAAACTCAGGGGCACTTGACCACTGAACCACAGCCCCATTTTGTATTTTATTTAGAGAAAGGATCTCATTGAGTTACTTAGTGCCTCACTTTTGCCGAGGCTGGCTTTGAACTTGCAGTCTGCTTGCCTCAGCCTCCCAAGCCGCTGGGATTATAGGCATATGCCACCGCGCCTGGCTACCTGTTGCCTTTATAAAGTTCTTCCAAGGAATGTAATCTGGTTTTTATGAATCCTTTTTGTTCTGTTTCACTGATTTGTATAATGTTAAACTCCATCAAGTATTTGTAAGGTTTTTCATACAGATAAACTTTTGTGTACTTTGCTAGATTTGGATGATATTTCATGTTTTAAACATGATATTTAATGTTTTAAACATTAAATGATGGTTAAGCACTAATGGTGGTATTTGTGGTCTTGGAATGCTGGGTATGTAGCAAGGTATGGAAAGGAAGGGTCAGGTAGGGAGTTTTTCTGATGCTGCACTTAAACTGCACAGTTTCAACCTTCTTAGATTTGCCTCTTCTTTTGGGGGTTCTAGGGTCTGTTGGGATGGTACATGGTGAAAAGTGGATTAGAAGAAAAACCGGATTCTCATGATATCCCTCGGGTCAGTCAGTACCGCCTTGCCGCCCACCTAGGATCAGCCCTTGTTCTTTATTGTGCCAGTCTGTGGACCTCACTCTCACTGCTACTCCCTCAGCACAAGGTCAGTATATGGATTATTACCACATCTGCGTGGATGCTGACAGGGTCAGGAAAATGGAAATTTTGGTTCTAATAGGAAATTGTAAATCAAAATTTAGATTCACTTAAAATGACATCCATTAATTTACCAAAAACTAGATTTTTTTTTTTGTTTGTTTGTTTTTTGTGATGCCAGGGGTCAAATACCACTGAGCTATGTCTCTGGCCCCATTTATCCATTTTTAAATCTGCAATCCAATAATGTTAAATATATTTATAGTATTGTGCTACCAGTCTCCAGAACTTATTTATACCCCTTAAATAACAACTCCCCTCTTTTACCTCCTTCTAGTTCCTGACAACTATTTTCTGTTGCTATTAATTTGACTGTTCTATATACCTTATATAAGTGGAATAATACATGTCTTTTGTGATTGGCTTATTTCATGTATGACTGTCCTCCATGATATGACGTGTAAGAATTTCCTTTTTAAGGCCTAGTCATATTCTATTGTATACATTGCATTTTGCTTATCTGTCTAAAGACACTTGAGTTGATTCCACTTTTTAACTATTGTAAATAATGCCACTTTGAATGTGGGTATGCAAAAATCTCTTTGAGATCCTGTCAGTTCTTTAGGATGTATATCCAGAAATGGAATTGCTAGATCATATAGGAGCTGAGTAGTGTTTCAACACTGTCTGTTGGAAAGATAAAAGAATGAATTTGGGGGAAGAAAATGAGTACCAACATTAAGATATATCCCAGCCACTTTGACTGTAAGAGCTATAGATGTAGGCAATTTATTTTAGAAGTCTGACTTTCAAAGTCAGGAATTATTCAGATGTGGAATGCCTACTATGACAGTGTTTCAACCATCTGACTCCCCTGTGGGGTTAACTGCCAAGTTAACATCTCCAGTCCTTACCTGGGATCCAGGTCACTAGTTTCAAATACCCATTGGATGATTCTACGTAAGAATCTTATGTCACCTCAAACTTCACTCCAGAAGGGATAGAGCGTGGAAAAGCAAGGGAGGCCAGAACGAGAACTACATCAGAACTTTGGTGGTATACAAGAGCCATATTTTGCGTGTTAAATGGGGACCTATTATTCAAGTCTAACACTATATTAAACCTTAGTGATTTGGGCTAAAAGGGTTTTTCTTTTTACTGATTTTCTTTAGGGAAATTTGTCGCGACACATGACTAAGTCATTCAGGTTCACTCCAGATGAACTGGGCTGGCACAAAATAATCACACCAAGACAGAGAAAATACTTTTTCCTTGAGATTCTTCAGCAACGTCCCCTCTCCTCCACCTCCCACAAGGGAGGCAGACAAAAAAAGAGGAGTAGGACATTCTGAAGCCCCTTTTTATTGAAGGGAAGACACTCTGAGAAAGTTCCACCCCAGTAAAGAGGTCAGGTTTCAGGAGGTTGAGTCTAGCTTGGCGATGTCTTATGGTCAGCAGATTGACTGACATCATGGAAGGCCACACCCATCTCATGTGCTTTGTGGGGATCATAGGCAGAGCAAGCCCAGAGAGGTATCATCAGTCCAGTCCACTCATGTACTCATACTCATAATTCACACACAAACAGCCCATGGCTGGCTCGCTACAGAAATACAAGTTTTTACATTTTATGCTTTGATTTTAAAACAAGGTAGGACTCTTTGGGAGACCCTCATTTATGATAGAGGTCTTCAGATAGCACATTCCTAGAGGATATTTTTTTTTCTAGTATTTAAAAACAGTGATTATTATATTAGGTTTTGAAATCCCAGATTCACCTGGATAAACTGTTCATGAAGAGAAGTTTGAGGTAACATAGGATTCTAAAGTAGAATCATCAGTAGGTATTTGAAACTAGTGACCTGGATCGCAGTTAAGGACTGGAGATGTTAACTTGGCAGTTATCCCCACAGGACAGGGGAGTCAGATGGTTGAAACACTGTCATAGTAGGCATTCCACATCTGAATAATTCCTGACTTAGAAAGTCAGACTTCTAAAACAAATTGCCTACATCTATAACTCTTATTTCCTGATAACCCATTTTTTCTTTTCAGTCCCTATAATCTGGCTTCCACACTCACTATTACACATACACCCACTTAGACATATACCCACACACCATCTACTGAAATTGAACTCTTAAAGGGTACTGATGATTTTCTAACTATCAAGTATTTTTCCCTTTTTATTTCTTTGTATTCCCCTAATTATAGAAATGATTTGAGATGGTGGTCAATTAATTTTATAGTGCTATGCTGGAGAGTTCTATGGGGCTATTTCAATTTTTAGTTAACTAATTTAATTAAAATTAACATTATTAAAATAAACTTTTCACTTAAACTTTATGTTAAATAAAATTAACTTTATTTAATACTAGTCATGTTTCAAGTCTTCATTAATCACAGATGATAAGACATAGCCATCATCATATAAAGTTCTACTGGACAGTGTTGATATACTGTCCTACCATACCTTACTACTAACATATAATTTTTTATATTCTACATTGTAAAGCACTTGACTTCTTTTTTGTATCTTTATAGTTACCCATTCATAAAGTTCTTTTTTTCCTCCTGTTTTTCTTTTTTTTGTTGTTGTTGTTGTTTTCTTTTTGATTTTTTGGTACTGGGGATTTAACCTACAGGTTTGTACTCCTGAGCTACATCCCCAGCCCTTTTTGTTTTTAGTTTTAAGACAGGGTCTTAAAAGTTGTTGAGGCTGGTCTCAAACTTGTGATGCTTCTCCCTTAGCCTTCTCAGTAACTGGGATTACAGGCATGCACCACTGTGCCTGGCWCATGAATTTCTTAATAAATATTTGTTTATTTGTATCAGGATTTGGCTATAGTAAAACTAAAAAACAAATTTTGACCTTACTATAAACACTGAATGTGAGAACTTCCACTCTAGGCATTTTATATAATTTTGATCCTGACCTTATTTGTAAAATATGAAGTATCACACAAAACATGAAAAGCCTTGTCATTTGAACCATGGTAAAGCATTTTCCCCTGATGAATGTAAGTCATTCAGTTCTCAACAGATACCTTCATGCCAAGCACTAGGCTAGGGTTACTCTACTTAGACAGACAGCAGTTCCTGCTCTCACAAAACTTTCAGGATAGCAGGGAAGACACATGGCAAATACATAATTAAAATTAAATATGATGCTTGTCAGAACAGAATATCTGCTTCGAGTATTTAGCCTAGTAGAGGGTCAGAAAAAATCTGACCTTAAATTGTCACTTGGGTTTGACCTTGGAAAGCTTTGCTGTCTTTCATAGTTCCTGCAGTTCAGTTTATCTGAATGATTTTCTTTCTTTAGTTGCCTGAAACCCGCCAGCTCCTGTGGTTGAGACGTTTTGCTCATGGAACAGCAGGTCTCGTGTTCCTTACAGCTCTCTCAGGTAGGATTCTTCTCATCAGAGATGGCCTGTTTTCATTATACTTTCAAGTAGAATCTCTTGTCTGATGCTTTACCCCTTCTTCCTGAATCATCTTACTTTCTTTTCACACGTATCTATCATACCCACCATCTTTATCCTCTATTTTCTGTTCCTTCCTTCCTCCTTTTCAAAAATCCTGCTATCCAGTCAGTTAAATAAAAATATTGTTTATCTGCCTAGATCCAGACTTCCCAGGTTCAAATTCTGGCTTTACCATCTATGACCTTCCTAAACCTGGCAAGCTGTGGAACCTCTCTGGTCTTCAGTGACCTCATCTATAAAATGGAGATGATAGCTCTAATATGAACAATATATTTGAAGTACATACAGTAGAATCTGGCATATAGCAAAGTCTACAGAAGTGTTAGCTGTTAATATTATGGAAGCATCATTGTTGTTATTGTTACAGTACACCAAGATGGCTCAGACAAAAGGCCTGCCCTCCAAGACAGTCAAAGATGGAGAGTGCTCTGGGGCAGAGAAACCAGTACAGTTTTTAATTCTTTAAATCACACCTCCACCTTTACCTCTCTCACTGTAGAACTGTACTATTTTAACAGAGGGATCAGTAGCCATCTATGGTTATGAAAACTTAAATTAATTAATATTAGATAAATTTTAGAATTTAATTCTTTTTTAAAAAATATTTTCTTAGTTGTTGATAGACTATTTATTTATTTATTTATTTGTGATTCAAACCCAGTGCCTCTCACATGCCAGGCAAATGTGCTACTGCTGAGCCCCAGCTCCAGCCCCAGAATTTAATTCTATAGTCACACTAGGCACATTTTGTTGGTTGGTTTATTTTAGAGATGGGGTTTTGGTATGTTGCCACACTGGCCTTGAACTTCAGATCCTCCTGCTTCAGCCTCCCAATAGCTGGAAGTATAGTTGTATGTTACCATACCCAACCATTCACTGGCCATTCTTTGAGTACTCAATAGACATGTGGCTCACATCAATTGCATTGGATATTGTAGAAATAGGATACTTTCCCTTAACAGAAAGTTCTATTGGAAAGCCCTGCTCTAAAATGAAAATAATATTGATTGAATATTTTTTTCCAACATGAGAGAATAAATTTTAACTTTATGAATTGTATTCACAAAAATGAGGACTGTGATCCATATTTCCCTAAATCATCTTTTGATCATGAATAATGGATCAGTCATCCACTAATTCAGATGCCCTCTTTATGTGTTTATCCAAGATTTAGTTTATAAGTTTTGGGGGTTTTCAGATCTCTTATGTTTTTCCAACAAACATTTATCAAGCACTTGGGGAAGACAGATAATGCAGAATAAAAACCATGTGTCAGATAGTCTTCAATGCTGTGAATAAGAAAAAGGCAGAATGAGGAGATATGTGAGGTAGGAAAGCACAATTTTGTATAGGATCATCAGAGGAGATCTCTTTGGTAAGGTGACATTTGAGCAGAGACCTGAGGAAGTTAGGGAGATTATTGGGAAGAACATCTCCAAAAAGATTAGCATACTCAGGTGGGGACAGGGAAGGTATCAGAATCACTAAAGGAATCCTTCCAAGTTGATATGCCTCTCCAGCCAGAACTTGAAGTTCATTTCTGTAGGGGAGACATGCAAGAATCTTGGGGCAGAAGCAGGCAAAGGGTACAGAGCTGCTGTTCAGTTCCTGTGGTGATTATAATATATTCCCTGTTTGAGCCCCTATTATAGGTCTTTCTGTTATTCTACGACTTGACCCTTTATCTGACTCTGGGATAATAGGCTTTTTTCTGTATCAGAATTAATGTTTGGTTTCTTCCTCCTCTCATTTTAATAAATCTCATTTACCTTGGAACACAGGGGCTTTCGTGGCAGGCCTAGATGCTGGACTTGTTTATAACTCCTTCCCCAAAATGGGAGAGTCCTGGATCCCGCAGGACCTCTTTACCTTTTCCCCCATCCTGAGGAATGTTTTCGAGAATCCTACCATGGTGCAGTTTGATCACCGGGTTCTGGTAAGTGTAGAGATGGGCTGCAGAGCACAGGGAGCCTTGGGAAGGCTTTGGAATGTCTAGCAGTGACGGCAACAGTCAGAAGACAGGGCAAAAACTGTATTTCCGATTCTTTTTGGAAGAAATTCTGGAACCAGTTTTCTGATTTTTTTATCATAATTACTCACACCCCTTCCAGGTAAATTCTAGCTTTCCAGATATTGCAAGCTTCTTAAAGTTCAAATATGTTTTTTACCCCCTGGAAAATGATAACCTCCCTCAACCCTGAATATACCTACAGACATTTCAGCAGTCATGAGATTGAGTAGAGAGGGCAGAGACTGTGATTGCTGAGTGCATAGCTGTCAAAGAGTCCCAAAGAGCAAAAGCTTCATCAGCACTTTTTGGCTTAAGTTATGATAGATTTTGAAGGCCTGCCATGGTCCATATTAAGATTGGCGTGGCAGCCTGGGCATGATGACTCGATGCATTAAGGAGACCTGAGAAGCAGTTACTGTGGCATTGATGCAGGCCTGAGTGCCAAGGAACAAAGCTATATGATGGGAGATGGATTTAAAAAGAATAGTGAATCTGACCTGAGGGAGGTTTTAAAGGAACAGAGTTAAGATTGGCTTTTAGGGATAAAGGTGAAGAAAGATCAAAGGCAATTCCAAAGTTTCTTCTACAGCATGCTTAAAACAGGACCCACAGAAATGGAACCATTGGAGTGAGCATGGAGCTAGAGATAGGAGATATCGTATGATAGAGCCATGTTAATTGTGAGGTGATGGTAGTACATTCAGAAAGAGGTCKAGAGGACTCAGATATCCAAGAACTCTGGGGCTAGAGCATGGTACCTCGTGTGGGTTCAGTCCCCACCTCCACACAATATTTTGGCATAAGTAAAAATCTGGTTGTAATTATCATTTTGGACAGCTCGGAAAAGGAAAAAGGAAAATAGATATAGAAATAGAAACATCTTAGATGTAGGAGGACGACCTTATTCAGTGTTGGACCTTTGTTCTGAAGGGTAGGAATGAAAATGAGACTTTTGATCTTGTTTAGTACCAGCTGGCAATACTACCACCTCTTCTACTCACGGCCCTGGAAAACAATAACCCTCATGTGTTGGGGTCAGCCTACTTTAAATAAATATATAGGATCAGTGATAAGATTAGGAATAGGTTGCAAAGATTATTTAAAAAGTGAGGGCCACACCTGGGGGACAGCCACGTGGGAAAGTGCATAAGATCGCTGAGAGTGTGTGTATGAAATGATACACCCAGAAACTTGGGTGTAATCCTAGGTAACACTGACATTTAAGTTGTAAGCAGAAGAGGACCATGGAGGAAACCTGAGGAGGAATGATGGGGGTGGAAGTAGAGTGTGGTTCTCTGTGACTCTCACAGGAAGTATTTCATGGTTGCTTAGTGGTCGAGGAGAGACACATAATGTGAGTGAGATTCTAGCACTTGTGATAAGAGTCTTTCGTCCCCACAGGGAATCACTTCAGTCACTGCCATTACAGCACTCTACTTCCTCTCCCGAAGGATCCCCCTTCCTCAGAGGACCAAGATGGCAGCAGTGACTCTGCTGGCTTTGGCATATATGCAGGTATAAACTACTTTTTGGTCTGGGTATCCTCAAAACAGTTATAAAGGAAGGTGATAGACTAGAAGAAAATATTTTAATATTTCTAGCAGATTTAAAAAGATTAATGATAAGAAAATAAGTACAGGATATCTATACCCTGTTCCCACAAGAGGAATGATGAATGGCTAATAAACATGAAACATTCAGTGATTGGAGAGGAGCAAATTAAAACAATGAGTACTATTTTGTGCCTGTCAATTTAGAAAGAAATGAAGTTTTTTTTGTTGTTTTTTTAAAAGGGAAGATTATCGATTTTTGGCATGGGTGTAGGAAAATGGATACCTTCAAATATTCTTAGTGAGCACCTGAATTTGTAGTTTTTTTTGGTTTTGGTACAGATTGAACGCAGGGGCACTAAACCACTGATCCATAACCTCAGCCCTCTTTTGTATTTTTATTAAGAGACACGGTCTCACTGAGTTGCTTAGGGCCTCCCTAAATTGCTAAGGCTGGCTTTGAACTCGTGATCTTCCTGCCTCAGCCTTCCAGTCCACTGGGATTATAGGTGTGCACCACTGCACCCAGCTTGTACAGTTTTTTCCAGAGGCATCTTGGCAATATCATTTAAAATGTTAGGCATATAATCCTTTGGACCCAAAAACTGACTTCTTTGTGTCTGCCATAGAAAAACCCCATTGCACAAGCGTCTTTGTATAAGGAAGGAAATTCCTTATAGAATTGTAATGATGGAAAAACTGGAAACAACCTGGAAAACCATGGTACCTCAGTACCATGGAATACTATACAGCAGTTTAAAATATCTCGAGACAGATTGTTAAGTGGGAAAAAAGTGACAGAACAACATATTAACAGCACAAAACTGTATCTCTATAAAGGTATAAAAGAAAATACAACTGTGTAGAAACTGGTAACTACTTTTTAGGAACTACAGAGGAGTAGAGGAATAAGGGAAATTCTAGGTTTATTCTCTTTGAATTTCTTTCATTTTTAAGTATGCTTGCTTGTGAAATTTAAAAATATGTATATTTTTTAATGTTGTGATGGGAGAATGTGGAGGTTTATGTATCTAGTTATCCAAGCCCAGTCATTTTCAGTCTTTGTAGTTACTACTTTTCTTGTATTTTTATAACAGGCAGGCTTGGGCATTAGCACTCTGCTGATGTACGTTCCAACTCCTTTGGCTGCCACTCACCAGTCAGGTTCCTTGGCTCTGCTCAGTGGTGCTCTTTGGCTCATGAATGAACTCCGAAGAGTCCCAAAATAATTCTCAGAAGATCAACTTCCTAGGCTTGAAACTACTTGTGAGAGATCATCAGAGAGCACAGAACTTGGCTTTTCTGCAAGGATGATTTTGGATGCCAACTGGTTTCCAAATTGGTCATTTAAAACTCTGCCTGTTTTGAGACAGTCACTGGATCAAAAACATCGTTAAGTATGATTGCACCAAATGTTCCTTTTTAAATCTTACTTTTCATATTGCAAAGTAGGATAATCGTGTAGAGAGAAATATCTTGCCATTTGTGGCTTCTTAACAGACTATGTTTCAATTTTTCTTGGTTTTGGTAATCTTCTGGTTATAGGTACATGATTTCTGTGTCCTTGTGTTCCTATGTCCTGCCCTCTGGTAGAGGTCAGGCTGGTGGAGATGATAGTCATAGACTCTAAACTCCAGCTAAGGGGTTAAACTGCTGCTGAGTGCTGGCCTATTGCTAACGCCCAGCAAAGAAGCCACATACCTGGATTTTTATGTGAAACTTTAGTTAAGTGTTGAAAAGTCATTTTAGGTTTTCAGAAATGTTTTGCAGGCTTAACAAGTTTGGGATCCATCCATGACCTGAGGTTGCCATTTGCAGTTTCTGAACTAGATGATCTCGGTTCCCTTTCAACTCAAATATTCTATGAGTTTTAATGGGACCTGTATTGTACCATTTTCAAACGTTTTTAGCAGAACAAAGATAGGCAGACTTTTCCATACTCCTAGACCCTTGTGGGCTTAAGCTATTACTTAGACTTGGTCCTGAACTTCTCTTGCATTAGAATCTTTTAAAAACCTCAAAGCCCAAGACTAATCTAAGACCAATTAAATCACATCTTCTGAGAGTTTTTAACTTCCTCAGGTGATTCCAATGTGCATATAAGCTTGGGAACTACTGACTTAGGTCCTCATAGCCTAGGTACCTTAGGAAGTTCTGACTAGCTTATTCCCATTCCTTCTGAATTTCCACCCTGCCCCCATCTCATTTAATCTGCTATGTTGACCCTATTAGTGTGTGGGTGTGTCTTTTTTGGCTACTGGGGATTGAATTTAGGGGCACTTAGCCACATCCCCAGCTCTGTTTGGATCTCACTGAGTTGCTTAGAGCCTCACTTTTGTTGAGGCTGGCCTTGAACTTGAGATCCTCCTGCCTTAGCCTCCTGATCCTTCTAGATAGAATTCTTTAATGGGAACTGCGGTCACTGGCCCAGATTCCCATACAATTTTCTCCTTGTCAGCAAACTCAGCTTGTCCTTAGTTAATAACTGAGACACCAGAAGACAGAATGATCCAACTCAAAAGAACTATATGCTAATCTTTTACAGTTTACTACAAGAAAAGTGACAACCCAGGAGTAGTTCAAATCTCAGATGTTTTACTTCATTTTTCTTTTATTACAGATGATGAGTAAATTTGGAAAAAACATATCTGATATTTAACTATATAACTGCATTGTGCTATTTATAAACAGATTACCTTGTTTTTTGTATTTGTGATTCTCGGTGCCATCAGACAATGAACCGAATATTGAATGAATGAATGAATGAATGAATGAATGAATGCATGAATTAATGGGAAACAAATGATTACTGATTGATGTCCCAAATGCCTCTTTGTAAATAGTCAACACATATGTATAGGATTAAATGAATTTCCCTAAATATTTTAAAGGTCCCAATAATTGTTTTTAAACCTGAAGAAAATTAAAGGACATATGTTCATCAGTCAAACAGAGTATTGTGTCTTTAACCCATATTGACATATGCTGTCCTTTGTGGTAGGGATGATTAGCAGCTGCCTAAAGTGATGTTGGTTGCAAAGAACAATGCTGATGATCATGGTTTTAGGATAACCAGTTTGCCTGCAGCTATCCTGTGGACCTGGGACAAATGATGAATCATTTGGGCATATATAACACATATGCCCGTGTCCCTGCATGGGGTGACTGCATCACCGCTCTAACACACATTGTACATTTTCCTCAACACTGACTGACTTAATGAGAAATTTAAGAATTATTCAGCAAAACTTTCTTAGTTAATGTGAAGCATTAGAAAAACATAGTTTTCACAGCCCCCCAAATCAATGCAATATAAGCAGCCTTTGTTTTATTCATGTGGAATGTCTAATTGTGGATCATAATAAAAAGATGCTTTGGGGCACACTCTACAGAGGCCATTCCTCCAGGTAATTAATGGAGGTAATATAGCATTTACCTCAGAGCTTCAACTAAATGGGAATTGTGCAATGAGAATTTTAAATACAATGAAACAACAGAAATCTAAGTATTTGGGGCCCTGCTGACAGAGAAAGGCTTATGAAACTAATGAGGGGCAGAGTTCATAGGCAGGGCTGCTTAGGAAAGTACCATGACTACCTGAGAGAGTTAACTAGATTTGAATCTGGAATGTCCCTCACAGCCCATGATTAAAGGCTTGGTCCCTACGATGGCACTCCTGGCAAGTGGTAGGCTCTTGGAGAAGTGGGGCCTCATTCAAGGTCCTTATGTCTTTGTGGGTGTGCCCATGAAAGGAACCGTGGGACTTGAGCTCCCTTGACTGCTTGCTGGCAATGAGGTCAGCAGTTCTGTTCTACCACATACTCTTGCCATGATGTGCTCAAAGCAAAAGGGGCTACTCCAACGTGGACTGGAATATCTGAAACTGTGATCCAAAACAACCTCTTTATAAGCTAATTACCTCAGGTATTTACTTATAGTAAAAGCTGATTAACACAAGTGGTGGGGGAAGAATGGTGAGCCACTGGAGGGACTAGTAGTGGCTGCCCTACTTACAAAGGACAGGCTCAGGAGCAGATATGTCTTCAGGTTGCCTGAGGTCACATGTGCATGGCTATAAACATCCTGTGATTGAGAACATTTTTTAGCTTTGGTATTTATGAAAATGGGAAGCAATGATTGATTATATTTTTAAAATGAAAGCCCTTATAGTATGAGCAATAATTCAGTTTTACAGATAAAAGGACCCTCTTATTGCTCAGATTTCTAAGAAGCAAAATGGTCAGCTGGTATATTATGCCTTCTTTGTCCCTTTAATAACAATAGTATCAACAAACTGGGAAATAATGAAATATTAGGGCAAAAGGGAAATGTGTAAAAATGCAAGGACAGTCTGTTAACATATTAGAAGAGGAGAAAGTAGACAAAGCAGGCTTAAGATAAAACTTTAACAAGACACCTGCAAAATAAGGAACCAGAGATTAATGGGATACAAGGTACTACAACTTTTCAATTTAGATCAGATCCAAGTTAAGCGAGACAACCAAGGAGAACATCACCTAAAAAATATATATTTCAGCAAAAATGCTGCTATTCTACATTAATCAGAAGTATCAAAACTTGGTTTTGAGTTTTCATTTTTTTTAATGGTGACTTTTTTTATAACACCCTACAAAATCCTCATAAGTTTGACAGAAGCATATTACCCCAATGGCAAGACTGAAGCTAGCATTTAATGTAAAAGCCTAATTTTGGAGAATTTTTTTAAAAAACTTTGTTGTAGTTGTAGGTGGACAGAATACCATTATTTTATTTGTTCATTTATATGTGGTGCTAAGAATCTAACTCAGTGTCTCACACATGCCAGGCAAGCGCTCTGCCACTGGGCTGTAGCCCCAGCCCTGAAAAACCATTGCTACTTCCTACCCTAATTCTTAATTCCAGCTGAAATGAAGTTGTATCACATACCAGAGCAAAAAGGAAAATTTAGACACTAGTTCTGAACTAGTTTGAAAAGAAGTTTACCAACCAAGAAAAATAATAAAATAAAAACCACCCAGCACTATGTTCTTTGTTCCATAAGGAAGTCTGAAAACTGCCCCAAGAATTACAACCAAGGTCTTAATGAGGTAGATATGGTAGGCATTTATATCTTCATTTGGATTGTAATCATCATATTAATTGCTTGGATGCTGTGGTTAACAAAACTGTGCAAAGTAATCAAATTGTTTAAAAGAAACATCTAAATTTTAAAATATTTAAAGAAAACTAAAAATATATGCAGTGGAAACTTGGCACTATTTCTTTGAAAGTATATTTCTGAGAGTGAGCAAAGAAGTAAAAAATGAGTATCAGAAGCCTTTATAAAGATCTGGCACAGGGGCTGGGGATGTGGCTCAAGTGGTAGCGCGCTCGCCTGGCAAGCATGCGGCCCAGGTTCGATCCTCAGCACCACATACAAAGATGTTGTGTCCGCCGAAAACTAAAAAATAAATATTTTAAAATTCTCTCTCTCTCCTCTCTCTTAAAAAAAAAAAAAAAAATCTGGCACAGTTAGTTGCAGCCAGCTGTACTAAAATAGGTTCTACTAAAATACATTTGCAGAGGGCTGGGGATGCAGCTCAGTAGTAGAGCACTTGCCTGACACATGCAAGGCATTGTGCAAGGTGCCTAGAACTAGAGCAGCAGCGAGACCGACTGCAGAAAGATTCCATCAGTGAGCATTCTTTTGTACCTGTCAAAATGATTGGCAGGGAAAGAATGGAGAAACTTGGTATCTAAGAGGCTACACACTGTGAATTTACCCATGACTGTTGTGGGCCTCAATTTAAACATCAAAAAATCAAGGGGGGGTGCCCGGAAGACCTCTGAAATCCCAGCTTCATCGTTATCATCTGATGCCTCTGCCATGTTATGATGCAACAAAAAAACAGCAGATGTTGGTACCATGCTCTTGTACTGCCCAGCTTCCAGAACTGTGAGCTAAGTAAATCTCTATTCTTTGTAAATTAAAAAACAAAAACAAAAAACCTTTCATCTGTAATTTATTTATAATGATTGCTACTGGAAGTCCCATTCCCATCAACCTTAATGTCAGGGCTATGGGTAAAATGGGATGCTCTTTAGAACAGCCTGGTCCTCTAAACCAAAGGCCAAAATCCTCTTCCTGAAGTCATGTGACTTTTTTTAAACCTTGTCTCCTGACTAGTTCTTTATCTTGTCACCTTGTTTTATGAATGAAAACTGAACCAGAGAAAGCAAGTGAGATTGCCTGGAGTAATCTGTGAAAGTAAACTAAAGATAGGAGTAGCATCCAAACTGGCTATTCATTAAATACAATGTTCCTTCCCTTAAATCACACTGTCCATTTGTCTCTCACCCAACAGAAAACAAAATACAAAACTAGGAGACTGTGGGTTAGCGGGAGGCATCTGTTCAGGTAATGCCAGTAAGAAGCAAATATGGATGTGACAGCAAATGTTAATGTCGTAGGTCAATTATTTCAATAATTACTAACTAAGACTTAAACGTTAAAGGAAGCTCTTAGGCAGAGAACAGGGAGGGGTAGAATACTTCAGATGACATTTGGAGAAAATAAATACGTTAGTAGAAAGTGAATAAGATTTTCTAGGCCAAGGAAAAGCAATTCAAGGAGATGAAGTACAGAGAGGGTATAATTTGCCTTAGAGTTAACTGCAACTAAATGTAATGCCACAGAAGTGGGTATTAAACACATTTTCAATATGTTCTAATGACAATTCATGGAAAAGTGACGGGTTATTCCATCATAAGACGAATAAAACATCAATACAATAAGCCACTGACTCCAAAGTTGACATCTGTGACCTGTCTCAGTAATAACAAAAGTTCTAAAACAGCTCAAGTTCATTATTGCTATTACAAAGAACAACTGTAAGATTCAAAGGAACCACTGGAATATGAAGTTTATGACACCTTAATTATCTTCACAAGGAAACCATTCAAACATGCAGAAGTACAAATAAGAATCCTGAAAGAGTGCAGGTTAAAAGAAGATAAAGGGTATGTATGGCAAGATCGACTTCTGCTCCTATAAGCAAGAATATTTCACTGTGAGGAAGCAGTATATAAGTAACTGGCCTTCAGCAAAGAATAAATGGCTTCTGTTTCTAGCTAATGGATTTCATTTAAAATCTACTAATTGGGAGCAATGGAAGAAGAATAGGAACCAATACCAAAAGCAAATACTCCGTTCTTCTGAAGTATAGTATAATAATTTTTCCTTCTTATTTTTGTACTATGGAATTTCAGGAAGTCTTATTCATGGTAATAAGGATAAGCCTAGATCCCATAATTTTAAAATAATAAACAGGCTATAACGCACTGAACAAAAATTAATAGAAATAAATTAAGAATAAGAAATATTTTATATTCAAAAAAAGATAAATGTAGGTATCCTGAGATTCTCAACTATAAAAAGAATATAGTAATATCAATCTGTAAGGTTATGGTAATGATTAAAAAACATACATAAAATTTCTTAAGAGTGTCTGGTAATACTAAGTGCTTAATAAATGGCAGCTGCTTATTTTTACAACCAGGATGAAG